TACCAGGGGATGTGATTCGGGTACTGAGAAAAACTACCTTCAACAAAACAAGAAGAAGGAAACCTCCCAGTATCAAAGTGTCGTGGTAGCGATCTCGTCAACTGCTATGGCGGAAACCCATTGAGACATCCTCGATCGCACCACACGATACAGGAGTCGCGCGCAGAGGTGGGTGGGACAAACCGTGGTAAACCAGGACTCTAGTCATTGAGAATTGGCAGCCTGGTGTGATTTTATAAGGATAAAAATAAAGCATTTGCCGTTGATCAATCCCTTTTTGGGATGCGGCACGCATTCTACTTCCATTTGTACATTCGTAGTGGCGTTTGAATGCGATGTGGCCTATACAATGACTTGCGGGGGCCAGCCGATAAGTCAGTGTTTTTATCCTCCCAGACAAGTCTGGTACCAATTAACCGACCCCGGAGGGATGGAAGGCTTGGTTGGCCCGGGCGACTCACGACCCAGGATTTGATCCCCGGACCGCTCGCGTGGTAAGCGTGCCACTTGCCACTACACCACTTCCGCCCGGTGTGATTTTATAGACGCGATAATCTCTCCTCTGCAGTTCTAGGCATACGGCTCCATTCCATAAGGCGATGGTTCCACTGAGAGCGTAAGGCGTATAAGGCAGTAGTGGAATTCCGGCGTAGCCGGAGCGGTGGGGGGGGGGGCAGTAGTGGTCAATGATCATCAATCGACAATCAAAAAGTCCAGAATTATTATGATCATTAATCTAGTTGTTAGAAATTATAAAGAAAGCTTCTAAGATTTGTAACTGGTACTCACTTTCATGAAGCAAAGACGAATCATAGTTTCATTCGTTGCCTTGTACTCATCGCTATAGAAGGCTGATGGAGGGATAACAGCAAGCTTCTGAAAAGATTTCGAGGTTGATGAAGCGTTAACGACATGAGTTACTGAGAAAAATTTGCGCAAGTTTCTTGAAATACGACCAATCCTAACTGATAATTCCATTTTTTCCGCATAAGTGGTGTAATGGCGAATAGTGCCGCTTATTATCGCATGGTTTAGGAATAAATCCTATATTGTGTCCTTCAAGCCAACGAAACCTTCCATCCTCCGGAGCTAGCCGACTGACACCGAACTTGCTTGGGAAGATGAGGAACACTGGCTTGTAAATCGGCTGGTTCCCGAATGCATTGCATAGCATTCAAATATCCGACATTTCCGAATGGCAACAGAATACGTGGAGCAACCAAGAAAAATCGATCAGTGGTGAACGGTGCTCATGATTAATTTTACAGAGCAGGCTGCTTTCCGTGTGCCCTTCACTCTATAATAAAAGCACAAACAGTCAAATTCGTTGAAACATTCCCATTAAAATACAGTTTTTTCACCGCACACCTCGAGTGAGTATAATTAAATAGGGCTAAGAAAAATAGCCTTTTACATGTTTCGCAACAATTTCAGAGATGAGAAAACTGCTTCCAACAGAGGTCAACATTTCAACTTTGCAATTTTCGGTAAGCTACCCCAGCCGAAATTCGCTCCCGCTCTCAAATAGGACTTTCTGGGATCAGATGTGCCCTAAATCCAGCTCTCTGACTAAATACCATCAACCATTGTGTGAAGAATGTAACAAACGTTCTCGAGAAACGTGCACTCTCCGAATTTTATGGACCAATTAAAGCAAGCATTTATCCTACTGTGAACCCTTCCCATTCATGTTAGGTTGTCCCAATATTTAGTGAATCACTTTGGGTATTTTTGAATTCAATTTTTTTCTTTTTTATTCGAACCCATGCTCATCCAAATATACACCTCTGTCATCGTATCGCCTGTTCTTTCCTCTGAAATTGCAGGAGCTCTTTAACGAAGAAAGACCGAAGTCGGGTTTGAGGTCATGTCACTTAGCGTAAAATTTCTTCCTGGGGAAGAGCGCTAGAGGTCAGACTGAGTTGTCTTTGTTGGCACGAGGATAGGGCCACACAGAGGAGGTGAAAGAACTGCTAGCCTGGGAGTCTCCAATTTTTTATGAATATTCTCCGCAAGGTGGGGTCGAACGACCTCAGGAAAAAAGCAGACTTTGTCTTGCTTTACTTTCAAATTGAACGCGTCGCCATTACGCTGTAGATGTTGATCTTCTTCAGTGACCCTAGTATTACTGGGCGGCGGTTCCCAGCGCAATGGTCACTCTCGTGCTCCACCAATATCTCGGAAGGGTCGGACTAGAAGGAGGTTCGGCTTTTGCTGTCAGAACTCCCGAATCGTTCATGCTAGGCTACTGCTCCTTGGAGATTTGCTAGTACACTCCACCCAGTCCAGAACCCTGGTGAATATGCTGGATGATCACTGTAAGGAACTAAGGGAGATCAGAAGGAACATGATGTCAGATCGTGTTGGAGCTGATTCGGGCTCAGAGCATGTGAGATACAAACTCCATATTTCCAAATCCTAACGACTCTACGGAGGTGCCTAAATTAAATCATCATAACTAACACGCTGTGGCAAATAGCGAGTTGTTCAGATCCCATCTCAGAGGCCCTGGGTAGGGTAGTAAAATTGTGTGGGTCCTCCAAATAAAAAAAGCCAACCCCGGAATGGAGCAATCCATTGGTGCACCGTGGATTGAAAGGG